CTATGTACAGTAATCTGTGCAGAAACATAGAGTAGGAACATGAGAGAAGTATATGCTCCCCAAATTTCAAAAGAGGAAATAAGTGTGTTCTTCCAAAATTGGATAGAAATGTGACAACTACAAAATTAGCTACAAAATTGAAATTGTGAAATTTAAGTGAGAATGCTATTTATTCTCACACATTTTAAAAAGAAAATAAAAAAAAATAAAAAGGAAACAAATAAGTATTGAAAATTTGGAGAGGAGTTAGCAGGAAATCAAGTAGAAGAAAGGCAGACATACTCATACCATACTTCTGTGGTTTCTGGATTTCACTGACCAGTAAGGCAATTTTGGGGGGTGGGGTGAGGCACATATCTCCCTTTCTAGACACTAAACCTTTGAAGGAAGAAACTAAATCTCCTAAMATCCCCCTTTCCAACATTCCTCCTCTCCATACTACCTAAACAGGAACTGACACAGTTTTGCCAAGTTCTTATTTCACCAAATAATGGCATTTAGAAACAATCACAAATTGCCACTTACAATCTCCATCATTTCATAAAAAAATGAATTGATACCAATGCATAGAACAGACATGAGCTTAGAGAGAGTATGCTTTAAGAGTTCCAGATTTTCCTTATTTTGATACCAATATCAATAAACTCTCCATGAATATAATTGGTACTATAAATAGGATTACAAACCCTCTACATCAAATTGTTCTAGGGTTCCATCAACATGGGTGCAAGCAATTATTCTAATAACTAGAATATTTCACACCTTGGAAAATGCATGGGGGTTCTTATTACACAGTATGGGATAAATCAGTCTCAACAAATCCCTTGTCAATTTTAACAAGCCTTAACCTTTTCAGAAATTGCCATATATGTCAATATTGGCTCTACCTGGTGATTAGAGCCAAGACTTAGGATGTGCAACAAATGATCCTAACCAAATACTTTGTTTATYCCTCATTGCAATACTTGCAACACAGAACAGCAATTTTTGGGGGGGGAAGGGGGCACATATCTTCCATTCTAGACACTAAACCTTTGAAGGAAGAAACTAATTTCTCCTATCATAGTACCCCTATTAAGGCAATATTTGACATATTGTGGATCTCTATAAGCATTTACCAAATGTTTGAATATCTTAAGAGTGTTTATTGAAACAACATAATTGTACATAGTAAAATCTCAGTGATTATTTTATGTTTCATTAATGGAAGTAAGAATTGGATTTGTGGTCAATATTCACTCATTAACTCTTCAGATCTATATAAAACCCTTAATATGTGCTTCTACTGTACTGAGATAATAAAAATGGTCCTCCATCTGCTCAGTATCATAGAAATGAGCAGAATGYAGTCCTTGCCTTCAAGGGTGTCAAGAATAGGTGCATTCTAGAGCCCATATGATCTTTTAGTACTGTGTCTCACAAAAACATGTCCAATTATTTGAATGATATAAATATAAATAATTTAATCATTTTAAATCTCAATAGAGATTTACACTTGCTGAGCTATGTTTTTCTTAGCAAGAATAAAACCTGTTTATCACCATTAAGTGGTAATACCTACTCTATTTGAGAGTCCTCCTTGCTAACAAATTACAGCCACTATCCYCATGACATAGTTCACTTAGATTGGAGTCTTAGCCTTGTTCACTTTAAATGATACAATAAATCTGCTTACTATTGCAAGTCTTGTTGTATTTGCTGTTCTCCTGTGCAAATCCTTCCAGTTGGCACTGAAAACGATGCTGCCAAAATTCTTGAAACCAAGGGTTTCGGAGGTTTGTTTCTGGCCGGAGCTTCAGATAGTAATCATCAAACCACTTGACATCAGGAGATTGGAGCTTGATTGTGATTCCACCAACAGCTTCTCGCTGATATCCATCTGTCACATCATACCTATCAGCCCAGCCATCACTGTGGGAACACACACACAAACACACACAGACCAAAAAAAAAAAAAAACAAACAGAACAGAAATCTTCTGAGTAAATGATTTCTTTTTATTATTATTTTTTGGTTTACTATGTCAATCATGAAATGGTACCTCAGGCCACAGGATAGTCATGCATTATACCTAGGTGATTGTTAAGATAACAGTTTGTTAAAATAAAAAAAATATGCAGTAACACCAAGAAAACTTTAGGTTTCAGAATGCTAACCTCTCTTATCTTGAGTTGCAAAAAATTACCTAATACTTTTGGCAGAATTTTACTTCTTGTAAAATTCAATATATGCATTTACATTGCATAACAGAACAGAACCATTCACACCTTTTTTTCCTCTTTCTCAGTGATACTGATGATTGAACCTGGGGGATGGGCACTCCTCTTTTGATCTATATCCTCAGCCCTCTTTATTTTTTTATTTTGAACCAGGCTTTCACTAAGCTGCTGAGGCAGGCCATGAACTTGTAATCCTCCTGCCTCAACCTTCTGAGTCACTGGGATTATAGTTGTGCACCACAGTGTCAGTGTACCATTTATTGATACTGGATATGTCAAGTTAACTTTCAATATACTMATTTCTTTTACTTTATGATAAACATTAAAATAATCATAAGAATAAAAATATTTCCAGTACATGCCTAACATTAATTTAACCATCCTATAACATGATATTAATTTTTGTTAACATTATACAAGTGAATTATAGAGAATAAAAAAAAACTTTCTAATTATACTCATTCTATTATTTCAGTCTCAAACTTAAATCTTGGTAATCCACCCATATACTCTTTGCTATCCTAGAGAACTTTTCAATTATATTTAAAATATGTATTTAAAATCATGTTTTAAAGTGATTGAAAGAACTTCTTAACAATGGGCCATCAAGGTTCAGGACAGGGATCACACTCCTCAACCTACTATTATTATATATACTAATCACTCAAATTAGTAACCTAGGAATTTTAAAATAAAAGAGGTTGGAATCAGAGAGTCCATGTTATAAAGCTACAAGACAGTATAACAATAACAAAAGAGTATTCTAAGCTTATTTGGGAAATATATGGGACACAACACTGGAAACAAAACACAAGAAAAAATGTTTAAATCAAACTTGGATACTCCCAGGGGGCCCAGGGAGAAGGCACCTTTGACTCCTCCTCCCTCTCTCTCAATGGAACACACACAGCTAGGGCTGCATGTTGGCTGGGACATGGTGCTTCTGCCTTTCTCCTGTAGAGGTTCTAACTGCTCTTTAAGCAAATAAAAAGGAAAAGGAAAATCTGACAGTTTAAAAAAGCAACACCAAAAATGTAAGGGAAGAGATATAGAGGAAGTAGAGAGGAAGAATAGAGAAGAGCCCCCGGAATGGAAAGCAGGAGGTGTTTGAACCTGTGCTCCAGGAAGAAGGCAGTGGGCACTGGGGGAGGATAAGGGAAGGGACTTCTATTATCAAGTACTGTTTACCTCAGTGATCCCATTTTCTTTTGAATGCATTTTTGTTCTTAGATTTTTTTTTTCTTTGAGACAAAGAACATGATCCAATGAGTGGCACAGAAAACCAATATGTAGGTATGCAAGTTAATAAATAAAATAACACAAAAAGAATGCACTTTTTTTCATTATGATCTATTATACCAAGTCTGATTAAAAAATTAATAATTAAGAGTTGCTCCAGAAGTCACAGAGGTGTTATGGGAATTTGCAATGACTTGAGGTATTTCCTATAGCATCAATAAGTAGAAGAAGAGAAAATAAATAAATAAACAAAAGGAACCATTTCTTTCTCTAAGTCTCCTTGAYAAGAAGATATCTCATTAAAAGTTATCTATGGTAAAATCTGAAAAACTTTTGTGGCAGATTAGGGAAAAAAAAGTGTAATGCAATATGTTTTGTCCCAGTGTTGAATTTGGTTACTTCACACATTGTCTTTCCTCAAGTTTCTCATTTTCAGCTCCAGAAGATTTTATTTAAAGCTGACAAGTTGAAATGAAGTGGGCTTGTTTGCCTCACTTTCTCTCTGTGTTGTGGAGGGTTKATTATATCACTGATATGGGAGTGTGGGTCTTATTGCCACTCCAGGAGCTGCATGGGCGTGCTGCAAGTGGGACAGGAAGCTCTGTTTGTCAAGCAGAGYCCCATTCTCCAAGGAAGTGGCAATTTAAATTGTTCCTTTTGTTAACATTAGCTCACTCTTATGTAACACTATGATTATGAATATTACATAAGAAATGTAAGATTATAATGGGTCCAATTTACCCTTCACAATTCATTCATTGAATTTAATGGGAATTGTAAAAAAGCTTGTCTTGAAAAAGTTACTTGCAGGCAATGTTTTCATAAAGGAAAACCGTCAGGACCAAAGATTGTTAATTTACTTATCTCTCATCATGTTCATTTCTCTTTTTTTTTTTTTCAGATAGAAACCTCTAAGCTTAAGCTTGTTAAAAAAAAAAAAAGATGATGCTTTACTATTAGCCTTAAAGTTTCAGTTGTTTAGTTTAAAATGATTTTTGTTCCAGATATTTCTAATCAAGAGCAAAATAAAAATCATAAAGAGAATAGTGCAGAAAAAGAAAATCCTAACACCGGTGTGCAAAACAGGGTCATTCTATTCAAACTGAATGAGAATATGTGCTGGGTRAGTCACAAGAAAAGACATTTGATGATGTGAAATTAAAGGATGCTTTAGATTATAAAATGTTAACATCTTTCTTAACAAGTGCTTTTGAGATTTAAGATGTAATAAATCCCAAAATAAAATGAAATGCTAAGAAATCCTGAACATACCTTTCTACCACCTAATGCTTTCTATTACTTCCACAGAGTAGTCCTTCAAAATGTTGGCATCARTTTAATGCTTTGGGTGGCATGTTTTTCCCCAAAGCAAGGGGAAAAGGTCAAGAACTAACATTTATTGAAAAGCAACTCTATGTAAAGCATTGATTTAGCTTTACTTTTTTACCTATCTGCGATCCATCCATTCATCTAATTTCTCTTTCATCTCACTAGTGGACATGCTACCTATCTCCTTATCATCTATTTCATTCCTTCCTTACTAATTTTTTTATATACAGTATTTTCAATATTTATAAATTCTATATTTGCAAATTTAGAGCTGGAGTTATAGCTCAGTTCTAAAGCACTTGCCTAGCCCAGACAAGGCCCTGGTTTCAATTCCCAGAACAGCAAAAATATGTATTTGAAAATTCACTTACTTCCAAAAATTTATTTGCAACAACCAAATCAATACTGGTGGTATTTTTGCAGTTGTTCACAGGTATGCATGCAGAAACAAAAAGCCAGCATGCATATTCCCAAATGAGGTTGAAAAGGATGCCCCTAGGCCTTTACATCAGTTCTCATACAATAAAAATGTGTGCTTTTCATATTCTATTTGGTGCCAGGTCTTTCATAGTTTTGTGTTTTGTGCTGGTGATTTTGCTGCCTCACATGGCACCCAGCCTTAGTGAGGCTATGTTGTTCAGTGTAAGCACAAGAAAGCTGAATATAAAACTATTCATAAAGAATGGATAAAAVAGTGTTTGCTTCAAGTTCAATGTTAATGAATTAATACTATTAAGTAAGTGAGAATAGCTTCAAAAAGGAACACATAAAATAAAGTTGCATATGACTAGCAAGTGAAAATATTGTGACTAGAGACTCACAGAACCTAAGTGTGTATTTCCTTTAGGAGCAACTGACAGTMTTCACTAATTTAATGTTTATTTCATGTTTGTACAATCATGGAGTGAATGGAGCATTGACTGTATACATAGGTTTAATCAGGATGTTGTTTTAGTCAGTCTTGTAGTTTTTATTTGGCTGCACAAACAGAGTAATATGGACATTTGAAATAGGAATAAGTGTTCTTAACTTAGAACTTGGCTCAAGTCAAGGAAGAATCTCCGTACCTCTTAACCTGTTCTCAAAACCACTCCCAGCAGAAACTTAGAGCCCTTTAAATCTTTCCTGAAGATGTCTTTAAAGACATGCTCATATAGCAAGGATTTACCTTCATTTTCTTCCTAGAATTACATTATCAAAAATATACTCCTTTCTACAATTTACCTTTCCCCTTCCAACTCAATTTCCCATTATTTCTCAAAATTAGTAACTCAAGAAAGGGTAATTTTTTTTCTTTTCAATAGGTTATGTTTAAAACAAAATTGCCTCCACCTAAAAACTTATTTCTATATCTTAATAACCTTTCTTCTTTACTTCAATATTTATTGCRTATCATGTCTTAGACTAAATTATTTGTTTGCCATGATAGTTCCAATATCTCAATGGCATAGAACAAAGGCTTGTTTGTTCCTCAGCCTTTACATTCACTGTGAGTGGGCTGTGACTCTGCTCTATTTTGTTGAAGGGAAATATAGTATAAGGGAACCATATGATGGTTCTTAAAGATTCTGCTTAGAAATGGCATACATTATTTCTACCATTGACCACAAGGAGTCATATGACTAAACATAACCTGATGGGCCAGGCAGCTACAATTTTTTTCCAGAAAGGAGTAGTCACTATTCTAAAGAAAATGCAATTTATTATATATTGAAATTGTATTGGAACTGGAAAAAAGATCAGTTGAATAGGTTTTAAACATATTTAGCTCAGTCTAGCCTACAGAGCTATATAAATCACCTATGAATGAATATCATTATAGGTATGAATTAAATGCAATGGGAGATTATATCAGTAAATAATTGATTAACTATCCATAGGATAATAAGATATAAATTGCATTTGAAAAATKTGGATAATATTATTTTGAAATATTATTTTCTATATAGTGAGAGAATATTTGTGAGTCAAGGAACAGTCTTAATTGAGCATTGCAGCTAGGTGTTCATCACCATTTTATTGCTGTGACCAAAACYCCTTCAGGACCAACTTAGAGGAGGAAAAGTTTATTTTGGGCTCATGGTTTCAAAGTTTCAGTCTACTGATGGCTGAATTCATTATTCT